TTATATTATTTAGTGTTCTGTCTGACGGCAGGTCCATATGAACAGGATCCTTCCATCCTTTTCTCGGACTGGGACCTGTTCATATACGTTCTTGGCAGATGATCCAAAAATGATTTGCCATTGCCTTCTTCTGTGTGTGAATGGAGTAATTGTTGGGATGCCACGGAGAAACCGGATAAGCCCCCGGAGGAAAACTCCGTGTTGCCTAGACCACGGCCTTGCCCGACACAAGTTATAAATTCGGCCACCGCCGGGAATCGAACCCGGGACCCCAGGATTACAAGGCCAGTGTGGCTGTTATGTCAGGGTATTACCTTAAATTAGGCTACGAACGCTTCCTTCCATAACCTTTCAATTTTATTTTTATATGTCATAATTTTTCGACGCGATACAGGATGATTTAATATTTTCTTTAATAACTTTGTATATGTGTATGACCACGAACAAGTAAGAAATTAAAATAAACCTTCGTCCGGATATTTCTCTATCTTTGGATACATCCACTTAAATATCTTCGTATTACGTACTAAGAGGTTAACGGTTTAAAATTTCTTGATTAGTGTGGTACTTGTCATTGATGACAGTATCCTAATCATCAGTGATCGCTTATGATTCTGAAAGCCGGGAGGTTCTCATCTGAACGAAGCAGAAACTTATAATCCGAGATGATTTGTACGTCATTTCGTATACAGAAGTGATGTAATGGTCTGCAAATTCTGAAGTTCAGTGTAGTTACCAGGCGAATTACGTTTTACTAACAAATACTCTTTAACTTATGCGCAACAAATATGATTACTCGAAAGATATTTTACGTGATGTTAACTACGCTACAACATGAGAAATTAGCGTACCTACCGTAAATTTTAAATAATTGGTTTAAATTATAACCATTTTGTAGATATTTTAAAAATATACCTCGCGTAAATATACTGTTAGGAAGAGACAAGTTTATGCACATGTAACATTATTTGGGGTTAATTCTTTTAGGATTCTTATGTGACGTCAACTGTTTCAGTCTATAGCAACAAGTGACCGTTAACGAAAGTGTACAGTACTTGTAAATGTTGAAGACACAGTTTCGTGTTCCCTTCCGTGTCACTTACATCAAACTGTTACAACCTGACAGCTGGCCACGGTTTCAATTTTCAAGGTGACACCTAGAATTCTGTTGTTTCTTTCAACACTTGGTCATCATAGGGCGTCTTCCATATTCCGGACAGGGATAAAAACAGGAAAAAAGCTTAATATTATTTTGAAAGAGGTGGAAGAACACTTTGCACCTTCTCCTCTCCTACTTTTATCCCCCCTCCGGGTTTTTCTTTCTTCTTTCTCTGTAGCTTTTTACTCCAATACACAGGAGAGATTTCTACCTTCGGTAGCAAAGTGCGAATCGTCTGTCTTTTTCCTGCGCATAACGTGGCAAAGAGGAAACTCTGAAGAGATGATGGCATAGTGGAGTAGGGCTAAAGTGAAGTGTAAGTGTGTTTTAAAAGCCTTCTCTGACATCTTGACCGAATCGGACACTTCCAGTCACAGACACGAAATAGCTTTCATTCCTCCATTTTCTCCTTCCCCTCCTTATTTCCGCCCCTCCCCTCCCATCCCATCCCCTCCCAAACACCTTCTTTATCCTTCTTGTGCGCTGTCCTTGTCTGTGAGTAACATTACGGTCTCTCTGCTGTCTTACGGCAGAAGACGTTGAGTTTTAGTCCATTTCAGGACAACTCTGTTACAGTTGCGCCTTCGCAAATAGTTTAATGAAAGTCAACTTTTATTTATCACTATCAAAATTATATTTCTGGTATCAGATCCCTAAGATTTAGCGCTGCCAACACCAAAACTAGTCACTAAATTAGTTAAATAGTCGGGGTCGGTTGGTTGAAAATCGTGTTTAGAATGTTGAAGGTCGCGGCTTCGAATCTTGGCTCCAGTACCAGATATTCTGACTGGTGGATTTCATTGTCTCTGTTAAATTAATATACTGAGAATTATTTTAAGACGACACTTTATGACCGAGTGGTTAGCATTTCTGCTTCATATTGGGGAAGTCTTGGGTTCATACTTGGGTCCGGAGACAGGGTAATGCGGCTGAGAGATATGTTGTTTTCCTCAGTTCCTGTAGGCAAATTCACATTAAATTATTAAGTAACTATCGATTCCTTCCGTATCCCTTCTGAATAAGTGTTCTTTAATAATCATGTCATCCGATGCTATATAGTCTGAGACAGTAACCTCGTTATTAAATGAAGTTAAAATAAGTAATATTCCTTTCTTTTCGTGTAAATTTACCATTCCTGACATTCAGCTTCAGAAATCTGTGGAGTTGAGAAACCACAATAGCTTGAGAACAAGAAGCAATTGAGTCTAATCCAAAGTAACAAATTACATTTCCTTGATATTTGATTTAATATTTTTCTTTCCATTTCTTCTTGGTCCTCCAATTTGCTGTTTTCCGATGGGTCTCGGTCCTAAAATTGTGATGTTAGTGGCAACAGTTCTGATAAAAATCGGCGCTTTTAATACGCTAGACAGTATGCGTTGTTCTATTCCACCTAAACTTAGGGAAGAATTTTATTTTTTTATTTCTTCATGATTTTATAGTCTCATCGGTGTGAATCTGCAGCTGTAAATGAAAGTAAAAAAACAGATGGTTCTACTGTCACGCTTACCTAAAAGTGTTCGGCTTTTGAATTGAGTAAAAAATATATTATCGTCTGGAATAGGCTTACAGGTGACAGCAAATTTTCCTTGAACCTTTAAGTTAACATCAGTGATTAATTGCTACTTGAGTAATTGTTGTTATAATCGATCCGTTCGGTATAATAACGGCAGATTTGAATTATGATACCCTCATCCTCAGGTTCTGACCTGAGACGAAGCACGGATACGTGGTAATTACAAGCATCTTTTGTTATTCACTGAACTGATGGGAAGATAATGAAGTTTATCAATCTTAAAGTGAATATAAGACTGAAAATTTGTGCTACAATAGTGTATACATATTTTTAAAAATGTTATGTCCCATTTCTCATATCTCAGTGGCCTATATGTGAAAAAATTTTAAAGTATAATTAATTTCATAGATAATTTTTCTGAAGATGTAACTCCGTAAACATTTAAACATCGTTGTTAATTATTCATGATGTCTCTTCTTTCAGAGTATTATAGATGTACGATTCAAACATATATTGTGTGAGTCATGTGAGATTGACGCGAACCAAAATTATATTCCCTCTGTAATATTAATTGTGGATCCGTATAATAAATTTAATAAATATCCGTTCAGTAATGAAATTATAACATTCAGACTCACAGACTGACATTCTTTACCTGTTTGTGTGACAGTTATTTTATTGTGTTTAGTTTAACTAGCTATTATTTATTTTGAAATGCTTAGTTTGCGTGTACAAAATCTAGATAATCGTTTACTCTAGAACTGAATTTGAAAAAAATTCATCCCCTATATTGATCCAGACTCATTCAAAAACTTTTAGCAAGACCTTTTAATACTTGCATTTTGCTCGCACAGTGTATTTGTAAGGTTTTTACGGTTTAAATAAAAGTTATTGTTTTCTTGGCCATTAAAATACAACTTGTTTTATCACCAAGGTTAAATTACGTGTGAGGTTGAAGTGCCGTATTCCCATGTTGCTTGCACTTTGTGACGTCTTTTCAAGGTCGTCCTACCGTGATGAGCGGTGTCTCCCTCTGTACGTCTTCCCTTCTTTTAAGGGGTCTAGCGGTCTTTCTAAACGAAGTCAATAGAGCACGAAAATAAGGACAAAGCTCAACTTTGTCTTCTGCTTACTATAGACCATAGTCAGTGCTATACATTCAAATAAATAAAAAATTGTATATCGGTTTTTTACACTGGTGGAAAAACTTAACTTTAGTGTCAGCAAAATTGTATATTCCTTGTACATGGAAGTGATCTCAAAGTGCAATTGTGACCTTAAAACAGCCCAAATATTATGTGTTTGTAGGAAGTAGCAAGGATCGTAGTTTAATTATTTTGTTAGAAAATTTAATGGCGTGCAATCGGTACTGGGATTGATAATTTTAAAAATATATTATCGTTAATTGGAAAAATTATAAATTTACGATTATACGTGACGATAAGAAACATCCCAAACAACACCTAAACGTATTTGAAGTCGTGTGAGTGAAATTTCCGCTTATAAGTACACAAGTTTTATTTCCGAAACTACTGAACCGATTTAGATTATGTTTGATACGTATCGATATATCGATATACTGCAACACCACTGTCTATAAAGACTGAAATCAAAACGCTGTTTTTTGCAACAGGACTTGTCATTTAGCCTAAATACTTGTACATAACAAAAAATTATATTTGCTGTACAGTGTGTTCTAAAAGAAACGCAATCCATTGCAGAATGAATTTCTGTTATTTCTCCCTGGTGGCTTTGTAACATATTCCTAAAGCAACTTACAACAACGAATTTTCTATTTTGAATAGTGAAAAGCATTCTTGTAATTCGGGAGACCTACTGTTTCTTTTTCAGCCCTGAAGATGGAAATCAGTATGTTTATCCGAAACACTAATATTTACCTACGAGCCAATATGGCGTCATAACCCAGAAAAAACATTATCTTCACTTCCGTGGAAACCTAAAATCTCAGATTTGTTTGTTCTCTTTGAGTAAAAGATTTTAACACATCTCTTTAAAATATACAGATATTTAAGTGTAATAAAAATATATTTAGAAGGTCTTGTGATGATTTCAAGACCAGTTACGTGTGAAAAATTACAAAAAAAAATCATTTGGTAATTACACGTAATTCAGTTATAAAATCTGCGATTTCCACAGAGCTTAAAATATAGATTGTTGCATTATGTGCAATGAATTCCAACCTGTACGTCTATTTTACATATCCACTGTGATATGTACCTGGTTTATCAGTGACAGCTGAATGTTTAGCCAACGCTTACGGAAGTGGCTGTATCTACATGTGACAGTAGTGACTTCTGTGTGCAGGTTTGGATGTCCCGGTAGGCAATGTTGATGGTGACTTCTTGAGCTCCGCGGGCCCTTGAGGATATAGGGTCATGCACAACACGGACAATGGAACAGGTCAGTGCACAGTTAAATTGTACATTGCCTTCGCATATCACACGAAATTCGAGTATGTTTCCAATTTGATTACCCATCGGAATCAGCTTGAAACACAATTGTTTCAGAATTTTTTTTACAGATTTTACACAGTATTACTCTACGTTTGCTGTAAAGCTAAAAACATTATACTTTTCCCTTACGTACGTAGATCTGAAAGGATAGCTAAGTACATCTTTATCTCTGGAGATGCTTTAATTATCCGATTGAGTAAAGCTCCATTAGCTAATTGAGTTGTGTAATGCACTTTATGGAAGCGAAGTTTCTACCTAAAAAATTAATCACCATTGAAGGATTAGTTCTGAGTGGGAGTAGTTGTATATTCGCCATATTGTCAGACCCACATCCTAAAGAAAACTTCGTTTTATCCCTCGGGATATAATTCAGGAACTTTATTTGTTTTTATTGCAATAGGACGTGAAGCAGGCAACTAAACTCCTGGTATATTTTCTTATTAGAGAATTTGATAGCTACTCAGTAAAGAAATTTCCTGTTTTAAAGAACTCTTAGGATAATTACCTTATTAAAAGTTTGCTGTTTAAAGCTATCTTAAGCCAATTAAGTCTACCAATTTCACGCACGTTATTTCTCAAAATTAGTTTCCCACCCGAAATTTTATTATAAATTTTCTTTCGCGTCTTGTGGTTTACATCTTATGACAAATCCCATAACGTATTACTGTCTGGAGTAAGTGGTTGTTCGTTAATTTTATTTTTTTAATTTTTAGGTTGTTTTTAAATATTTTTCTTGTCCTTTTAGCATATATTAATTCATAAAAAATAAAAATGTTCCTGGTATCAGATTGTAAAGTACCAGAGGGACAGGTTCAAAATTATAATTTGCCTATGGCCCACAGTTGGCGCAGTTTTATTATTTACACAATTAATCTTGAGACAACTCGGGTGAGTTATTCTGAAGATATAAGCTACAGGGTAAATGTGTTATTATTTAATCATAGTTTCTGTCGGTAAATGGTTTATGTATGAACACCCCAGCGCAATTTGTCATTTTAAAAATTTTCTGAGGAGAGTAAACGTCTTACGTTGCAGATGGTAAAAGACACACACACACACACACGCACGCACACACATGCAATCACATGAAGCATCATCCGCTGCGGCAACATAACCTAAATTTCTATACACGTCAACATTTTCAATATTCAATTACATACGACTGTAAATCTTATGGCAGCAGCAAGACAGGCCAAATCGAAGAAACTGCTCTTCCAGACATCGTAAAACCTTTCTGATATTTATTATTTGTTTCTGCAGCTGTTAAATCCATCTCTGCGGATCGAAGTTTCTCAATGTTTTCGGGCTACTATCGCTACCAGAAACATTTGTCTCGCTACAGACATTTTAGTACTCCTGTAAGGAGTATCGTATTATTTATACAAAATTGACTTTGTAATTTGTTTTCTGTGGTTGTAAAGTGTAGTGTGGGAACATAAATTACAAGCGTTTTGAAAAGAGAATGCTCCGGTTAATATTTGGAATGAGTAATTTACGTTCTGCAATCCTTCGCCAACGGCGGATTATTAAGAATACGCTGTTACAAATTTGTGTACTTTCAGAATAATTTTGTTGCCTTTCGCAACAAGCAATTTACTTTTTTCTGGTGTCAGGAGTGTAATTTGTAGTTGAATCTACTCCAGATGCACATATCATATTTTTATAACTTACGATTTAATATAATTTCTCGTACTATATAAATTAATTATTTCTGGTCATAACTAGAAATTTTCCCGTTAAGAATGACTAAAATATCTAAAGCAGTGCTTAAAAATACATTTTTATTGCGTAAATAGTCTTTATTTCAGTGCGTTGTTTTCACAAAGCAGCATATTAAAATTAAAATTGAGTAATGTTGCACAACAAAGAACTTAGTGTCATTATTTATCTTTGCTTAATTAAAATGGTTTCACAGCAGTCTCAAATATATTATACCGAAATTATAACAACTGTGCTGCGTTGTAGTTCACGCAAATACTAAGCCTCCCTTAACAGAGTTAGCAATGGCATCGGTTATTATATTATCCCAGAAAGCCGAAAATCCCCTAACAGCCAATGATCACCAACTAAATATCAATGCTTGTTACACAGATGAATTCCTGTAGTGGGACTCTCAGAGATAACCTACGTAAAAAAAAAATTATATACAACCTCAAAATGAATAACCGTCGTAACATTTATAATTATTAAAACTAATGTTTCTTACCGTATTTATATTTGTGATTATGATGTATCCTCGTACGGAATTCTACACGTTTAGATCGAGTGCTTCATTTGTTACCGATTTTTAAAGTCGATACGACATGAGGCACCTCGATAGTTCGAGACTGAAGTATCGACTCTTCCGCAAAATGGCGATCCTCACTGTCTTTCCGACCTGAGTTAGACTTTAGAAATTTGCTCCGTAAATATATGGTCGGTAACTAATTGATACAAACGAATGTCACATAGAGATTTTTTGGTGGAAATCCTGAAAGGAATAGTCCACTTGCAAGTTCTGCGCTTTAAAGTGTAATATTAAAACTGGTGTTAAAATGGGTATGAGGATTTGTGCTGGATTTGTCTGGCTTAGGTTATGGTGCAGTGGTGGGTTTTTGTAAATACAGGTATGAACGTTTTGTTCCACGGAGGCCGAGGAATTTCTGGACTAGCTGAGCTTCTCGGACTCTGCTAACTGGAGTTAGAGAAGCCATTTCACTGCCAATAAGTGAAGTGTTCCGTAGCATAAAACTAGTTCGTAAAGTACTTCACTCTGTCACATGTGTTTTCCGCTCCAGTTGTAACTTCCCAGGCCGGGATCGAATATCATTTCACTTTAGTGTAAGAAGGAATAAAGAAATGGGGAAGTTGGCCGGAAGGTTGGGACTGAGGGTGGGGAGAGGAGAATAACATGGCAGTACATCTCCGATGTGCCGCGTGGCCAATACACGGTAAGCGACATCGTGCAGAACCAGAAAGCAGAATCCGATAAAAGTTGTATAAATTCCTGTGAGAGAACAAGAAATAAAAAAATAAAGGGGTGGAGAGAGAGAGAGAGAGAGAGATAAAACGCTTGAAGGGACGGGCGATAAATCTTACCTTAAAGGATATTGTTTGAAGCACGTAACATAGGCAGAAGACGCATTTGGTGCCCCGTTCATACCGCTTGCCTTGCTAGCTTTTGCTTCGAAGTATGATTCGCTACAGCAGTCCCTTTGCCTTGCGCGAGTATGGACCGGCGAGTGTAACAAATTGTCATTTGTGACTGATCTAGACCATCATTTATCTAACGACACCGCGGTGAGTACAGTCTGAGCCGAAAGTTGGTTCACACTCTTAAGTACTCTTCTATCACACATTATTTTGCTGGTTCTGTTTTCTTTTCTTCTCAATTATTTTCAGTTTTTAATGATCTCATGACTCTGAACTTTCACTAACCCGCTGATTCCATAGCCTAGAATCGTTTTTGATAAGCTGATAGTCTACCAGCTAGTCAAGAAATTTGTCGCCTTATGCATAGAACCTTCAAGTTATTTAGCATGTTAACAAGAACCAAATGGTTAAATATACAACCCTAAATTATATTTTACTTTGATCCAGTTTAATATTATCCTCACATCTACGCCTAGGTATTTAGAGTGGTTTCTTCCCTTCGGACTTCGTAACCAAAATTATGTACTCACGTTACATGCCCTGTCTGTTATATTCTCCTTGATTTAATCGTCCTAATGACATTTGGTGAAACATATTAATTATGAATTGTCTCATGATTTAATTTTCTCTGCAGGTAATAATGTCGTTTAAGAACCCACTAAGTAACATATCTCAAAATAAATACGTTGTATGCATTCGTTTACCGCCTGTGAATGTAATCGCAGTTCGCCGTCATAGTAAGGTTGTTAGTCAGACAGTAAACAGGCGATTATGAAATTTGTGGCACGTCACACGTGCGCATGAATCCTGCGCATTGGAACTCTGCGGAATATTGACGCTGAATCAGCCCACCTCTCAAATTAAATTTATCACACTGTTAATTTTCATTAAACCTACATTGAAATATTCACTGCCTGGCGTAAGTTTTCACAAAAATTAATTTAAAAGTCGTGTAGTCGTAAAGTCATATTTTCATAAAAACCCAAACACTATGACAATAACAAGGATTTACCATTAAATCTATTACGACAGATAAATCCAGAAATAACTCGTAAGTTCACAGATCAGACCGTAATACTTCATAAAGATATTTGTGATGCTTGAGGAACTATGGAATTTTAATCTATAAACATTTATAATGTTGTAAATATGTAACGAAATAAGTCTTCAATTAAATTAATGTATCTTTATTTTCATTGTTGTTTGTAATATGATTTGCCTTACTATCTGTTCTTCTACCTCAGTAATATATTTGTTTCGGAAATAACCCAATATAAAAGTTAATAAAAAATTAAAATTAAAGCTAGAATTTTTCGATACTCTTCTTGGCATTTCAGAGTCCCCGCCCACTGACTAAAGTTTGCTTAAATAAATAGGCATATACGTACAATAAATCGAAATATATTTTACATTAAATAGAAAATTGTAAGCTTTATTGAAAGTATATTTTTTATTAAGCATATTTTAGATACAGTGATATATCTGATCATATTCAGATTGGGAAGCTAAAACAGCTTTGGATGACACTAACATATCTTTCCTTCTCTGTTGTCAGTATATTTTAGGATCGAAATGTAGTTCTAAAACAAACGTAAGTGGATTTAGATGGTCACTGTGATTTCTGCAGGGGGTACAGAATTATGTTTTAGCATAACGTCAGAATCATCTCCTACTGTGACATGAAATTTGTAAACTTGCCCCATTGGACGGAGACCTTTATGAGAAACGAATGTTATTTCAGATAATCAAGAAATTCTGTCGGTCTTATTGAATCCTAAATGTTCATTACTGAATTAACAAGAGCCTATCATTGGA